CCTGCCAGCGCCGTAATAACACGACCCAGCGACAGCAGACTCTGGTTTATGTTTCCTGCAGAGATAATTGTATTCCTGTAGGGTCACAGTAAATGTACATTCAAACGGGAGACGAGGTGACAACTTTCGTCTCGTATACTTCAAGTAAACGATCATGTACGTTAGTCGCCCACATTCAGATCAATTCCGTCTTCAGCACTTTCCCCCAACGCTATTGCAGCCCAACACGATGCGGTAGACACGGGAGTTTCGTCGCAGCATACTCGCACGACTACGCACCTGCTTCACGCGCCCGCTTGTCAATAGCCCCGGAGCGACCGATGTTCTCGCTGCCCGCGAGATCTACCAGGTTTAGCTTGCCCGTCTTCAGTAATTCTTCCCCATCGACGGTGTTCTCTTTGATGTGGATCGTGATGCTGAACACTGAGTGAGATCGGCTGCCGAGAAAACAATCGCAAAAACTTTGAGGACAAGTTCAACAAAGACAACAACAAGGACGAGAAAACAATCGCAAGGAAGGAAAAACGTTGAGAACAAGTTCAACAAAGACAACAACAAGGACGAGAAAACAATCGCAAGAAAGGAAAAACTTTGAGAACAAGTTCAACAAAGACAACAACAAGGACAAAACTGAGGTTGCATCCTATAGGCAGCAGGCTGTAACATTCAACTGTTACACAGAGACACGTATGCATGTTGTTAGCCTTTGGAAAATATTACGCAAAAATTACCTATAAAATAAAATCCGTGTAATCATTTATTTTAGATGCAATCCTTGTTTACTGGTTACCAAATTCTGTAAAGTTTTTATGAAAGAGTTTTGTGTAACTGCAAGTGGCATATACCTAGAGCTTGCATTCATGAGAGTTGCTGCCGTCTGTCTCTTCATTGCGCCTCGTTCCATGATGTTGTAAACTTCATCCTTGTTCATGACTGCAATCTCTTCAAGACCTTGGATCACCACGGAGCCCTGAAGCAAGAAATATTTTATATATTCTGGGTGTGCTTTGCAGTTAATAACACATGCTGGCGGGACCAGGACGAGGAGGGGAAATTTTATGGATTGGTGCTTAGTTATTTAAAGTAACACAAATTTAGTAAGTGTGGTGCTGCAAAAATATAATGTGGCAAGATGCCAAGAGAGCTCATGGCAAACAGTGGTATAAGAGCTAAAGAATCTGGCCATATTTTGCTAAATCTGCAATAGTTTGATAATTGCAGAATTGCCTACTCTGTGTACCTTCTTGGCAGAATCTTCAAATATTCGCATTCGTTGACCATTGTCACTGGAGCTCAGTAGATCAAACAGTTCTTCATTATACAGCTCCAGAAAGCTGACTCTCATTGAGAATTCTACATCCTGTTATAAACACGAGAAACAATATAGAACTATCCTACAATCAATACGACTAAAATAAAAATAAAAGACCCTATAACAATTATCTAAATTACTGAGAATATTAGATATCTTTACTTCATTAATCCAAATTAAAAAATTCCCCCATGTATAATAATTTATTCCAGAGAAATTTCTTCGTAATTTGATAAACATGAACATAAATCCACATACACGTGAATAAATGTGCTTACATGATGGTGCTAAATATCATAGATAAATTTATCGCACGTTTTTGCGAATGGTTTCCACCAAAAAATCTAGAATCTTCAATTTATACCTGCTTGGTGAGAGTATCGAATATTTGATGCACAGATCGTGGGATAATCCCAGCTAGTGGGTCCTTGTCCCAAGATATGTGTTGCTCTGCCGTTCTTTCACCCTCCATCGTATAGGTCTTACCCGACCCTGTTTGTCCATACCTGTCACAGAGGTAAGCAGCCTGGATTATGACTACAAGCTAGGAGTCAATTAATTGGGCCAAGCTTAGCAGCATATTGCGAATGAAGCTGTAATGTCATGGTGATACGAAAGTGTATTTATTAAAATTCCAGTCTGCAGCTCTTGCTGCCAGTGTTCTATGTACTAGTGCTATAGCTAAGGTGACTTTAGGGTAATTGTTTTTAAAAGACTTTTTAAAGAATGTACAAGTTATCGCAATCACATTAAGACAGATTAACTTGTATAAATGTTTTTAAAATGCACTCGAAAAGCCTAGAATCTGTTAACGGTGGAATCTGACTGACCGTGCAGGGGTAGAAATTAACTTTTGAACAAGGGAGTCCAACGTACTCCTTACACTCAAAAAGAGGGAGTCCGCAGTCCGAGGTTCAAAATTAAAGATATTTACAATAACGAATATGCTTATTTTTAAAATTCATGCGGTTGCACGGCTACCAAATTTTCTTTGGACATTAGCTGAAAGATACGGTAATTCCGCGAGGCCGTGCTCTGGAACGAACTAATTAGTATGGCAGAATTTTCAGGTAGTCATATGGACTCCTGCACATGTCAAATCAAGGAGTCCGACAGTAAATCAGGGAGTATTTGACTCCGGACTCCTGTTAATTTCGCACCGTCGTGTAAGAAAGGTCGACAGCAGGGTGCAAAATTAACGTGAGTACGGAGTCAAATACTCCCTGATTTATTGTCGGACTCCTTAATTTGACATGTGCAGGAATCCATGTGACGCCCTGAAAATTCTGCTATACTAACTAGTTCGTTCCAGAGCACGGCCTGACAGAATTATACCGTATTTTTTCAGCAAATATCCAAATATCCATTTGGCAAACGTGCAACCGCATGAATCTTTAAAATAAGCACATGCGTTATTGTTAATAACTTTAATTTTAACTTCATTCTGCGGACTCCCTCTTTTTGAGAGCAGGGAGTCCGTTGGACTCCCCTGTTCAAAAGTTAATTTCTATTCCTGCAATAGCATTTACGACATGTTACTCACGCAAACATGGTGCAATTATATCCCATGAGAACCTCCTCCACAACTGGCATTACTACACTCTTGTATATATCAACTTGCTCAGCCTCAGGGCCAAACACCTGGTCAAAGGTGAATGTTTTCGTGTTTGCGCGCTCCTTCATGTAAACCTCACGCTTTTCATTGTTGATGCTGGCTATGGAGTGCGAGCCCTGTTTCTTTTCTTGCAACGACAGTGGCCTAGAAAGAAATAACAATGTATAAAACTACACAGGAAAATATTGACGATGTCCTTACTGAGCTAATCAAAGATAACTACGAGTTGTATGTGCATGCATGTACCTGTGTTATCACATTTATCCACTCTTGCATGTACATGTGACATGCATACAAACATGCCTACGCGTGTGTATTCCCTAACCTTAACTAGTAACCTTACCATAACCCTAAACCCAACACAATTACTTACTGGACTTGACAGTTGTGTTCTTGCAAGAACAGTGACTACTACGGCTCAATAACAATATAAATGCAGGGATTTCAATAGAAGTCAGTACATGGCGAATTCAGCAATGTACTTCTATGCCTATATTGCATAGCCTGACCAGGCTGCATTACTAATGTCAGTAATGAGATATGTAACGTCAATGATCAGCCGCATCAATTTTGAATTTGATCCACCCCTTCCTTATCTCTACTGATACTAATTTACACACCTAGTTCTTAAAAAAATTAATTAAGCAAATAAGTGTTATTTATAAATTATATAGACCTGTCCTACCTTAGGCTTAGTACCTATACGGTACCTATACCCACAGGCACTTGAAGCGTTTCAATAAAATATATACGCAGGGGTTGTGTTCTGTGCACGGCGACAGTTAAATATATAGCTATATATTTAACTGTCGCCGTGCACAGCACACGACCCCTGCGTATATATTTTATTGAAACGCTTCAACTTTGGTTCAAGGATAGAGAACATGGGTCCCAATAAAACCAATGTCATTTACATCAATATAAATATAATATTATATCAATATAATAGGTTAGGGTTATTGTTAGGGTTAGGGTTAAGATTAGGGTTAGGGGTAGGCACATTGGTTTTATTGGGGATAGAGAACATGTATCCCAATAAAACCAATGTCATTTACATCAATATAAATATAATATTATATCAATATAATAGGTTAGGGTTAGGGTTAAGATTAGGGTTAGGGGTAGGCACATTGGTTTTATTGGGACCCATGTTCTCTATCCTTGGGCCTCAACTTCAAGTGCCTGTGCCTATACCTTCCTATATATATATATACCTGTCTAGTGTATATGGAAATTATACATCATACAAGCTGTGCATCATACAATGAATACGTGCTGTACTATCATGTGCATGTACTACATGATGTAGTGTCAGTGATACATGTAGGCCTATAGGCCTACAGTTCTCCATATTTTTTTACTTGGACCAAAGACGAGTGCGTGCGGTGTTTACTGTTTGTGTTGGTTTGACTTTTGGTTTCATGTAACTTGTCATTTTTATCACTGGATCGGCCACAAAATGTAACATATTTGTCTTCCCAATAAGGCCAATATGAGTCTGGGGTACCGCACTGGCACTGTGTCAGTGTCAGGTATCTGGTAGTGGTAACTGGTACCTGGATGGGATTTTTGCACAAGGGAGACATTACTCCCTGCACCGGCCATATGAAATCTCGGGTATCGCGCCTCTCGTTAACCTGCGAGACTCGCGGCTAGGGCCTGCATACCTCCCAACTCCCATTGGTTGATACAAATATAGTTAATTTTTTAAATTAAATTCTAAGTAGTGTTAGGGTTTGGGTCACAATGCACCATAAAAGGAATGATTAAAACAGGAGTTTCAGGCACGTGATATGTATCAACCAATCTTGTATCTTGTATCTGGTTCCCTCTCTTGTATTTCACAAGGCACCCGAATCAACGAGTGGGGGGTTCATTTAGAAAACAAAGGGATAAACGTCGCCTCTAATTCTCTACATGTTAGTGTCACGGATCGCTAGAATTTTCCGTACATAATCTAATTCTGGTTTTAATAGTCCATGGTTGTCCCTTCTCCAGTTAGATTTGAATGGGATTTGGGAGGTATGCAGGCCCTAGTACCTGCAGGGCTGCGAGAGATGTTTTTTTTAAAATTAAATCTATTAGTGTTAATTAAATTTAATTAGGGTTAAGGTTAGGGTTAGGGTTATCGTTCGGGTTAGGGTTAGGGTTAGTCAGAAACGGAGTCGAGGTTGGGAGTAATGTTTGCCCGGCGACCAACCTCCTGGATGGCCGTTTGGCGTTTCTTGGAGCTAGCTTTCGCATATTAGTACTTTTGAACGTTTACTACGCTTACCTGCAACGGACGGCAACATGTATGTTCTGGTTCTTCTCTTGCTTTTTATCCTTGGACCCCATAGCTTCGTTGAAAACAGTATAGGATGGCCTATTTGGTTTTTTTCCTTGATTCTTGCTTGACCGTGATGAACGACGCTTACTTGAGTATATTTGAAACTGGTGTGCCACGCAAAGCAATCAAAATTCAGCCAATCACAGCGTCGGAGGTCGACTATGTAGGTTGGTGCTGCCATCTTTGTTATTAAAAAAGTACAAATCTGACTAGACATCAGACCACTTCTCAGACACCTATACATGATCATATTAATTGATTTAATCATTTATAGTTAAATTTACGAACCTAAAATGGACCGGTACTAGCCAAAGGGTTAACACTCTCTGCTTCTACCACGTACTGCTGCTACATATATTACGTATATTGTGCATTATAACACAGTGGTGCCACCTGGTAGGTCGATTTACCTGAAATATTAATTATTGTCACCCAATAGTCAGTGATAGTGTTTTGTAAAAATATAGAAAGTTTGTCAAGTGTTAGCGCTCTTGTTTGCATTTTGATATAGTTTCACGAATAAGCAATTTGTTATAAAACATCAGTACGATGTGTAATACTGTAATATTTATAAATATTATATAGATGGGTGTCCTGATTTTGCGCATTTCTAGTTCTGGGGAATTGATATAGTACATTTCCTCTAACGGAATGGGAATTTTTCGTATTAATTGACTGATGTAAGTAATTTTATCGTAGGTTTATCATTTCTCTAAATCATGGTTTCATGAGCGAGCTGCAGTGAACTTTACGATCAATGTATAAACATAACACGGCACTGCGCGCACTAGGATCAATACTTACAGTATGGATCGCTAATGTTGCCTCTAGGTGTGCGTGAAATTGTATAATGTGCTTGCCATGTGATTGTTTATTAGTCACAGAGCTACGATTGAGAGCTAAGGTAGTTCTTAGGTAGTTAACGAGTAACTTTAATCGATGAAACAAGAGTGCACCAGTGACCGTTTCTATACATTGCGTCATACACGGTACTCCATTCAGAGCTGGAGCATGTGGTATAGCACTATGGGGCACGTGGCTACGATGGAGTAAATTTTATATGATGTGGTGTTTTTTTTTTAAATTGGCTGTGTTTCATTTCTTTTCACCGGTGATATTGCGTTCTTGCTTTGCTCTAATTCGCCTTGAGATGAAAACAGGCTGACAGCCTGACAAGCTGGCTCTGCATGATAGCGAATTACCGCCCGTGAATCGAACAGTAACTACAGTTAAAGTAGATGAGTGGAAGAAGCAGTAGCTGCTGCTGCTTACTTCGAGGAAATCGCAATAAAATCCTTCCGAATCCAGACAATTATGAAGATTTTGAGGTGATCGAAGTGCGGCCTGGGCGCCGGTTACGCGTTCGCTTAGCAAACGCTACACCAGCCTCGCCTCGCATCGCACGCAATCTTACGCCACCCGCGACATCGACCTGCGACGAAGGCAACCCCGTAGCATCAAACCCGCGTTGTCAACAGATCTGTGACGCACCGTCGTGGGACGATAGCGGATGCACGTTCCCCTCACACGCGTGGGAAGGTGTCACGGCTTCTGCATGCAGGCCACGGACAGCACCCGCCGTCGCTAACTCCGCCGGCCCACGTAAAAAGTCGCTGTCCCCCGCGAGTGGGAACTGGTATCGACGGCGGGTATGGGATGGAGATGGGGTCAACGAGAGTTCATCGCCTGCGATGGAAGCTGAGTCAGGGATGCGGAGAGAGAACCGGAGATCGTACTCCGTCATACCAGTCCCGCACGAACGATTATTCTTATTCTCGCCTCTGAGTAAATCCAAACGTAGAACACCTTTCTCCCAGCGGCACCGCGGACACCGAGGGACGCTACAGAACCCGTCCGGCCGGAATCTCGGACTCGGATACGGACTCGGACATGGATCCGGATCGCAGTTATTGGCGCTTGGCAGCTGGGCGACTAACGGCAACTCATTGCGAGCGGAAGCTACGAGTGTCATAGTTGTCCTTGACGATGAAATGCTGTCCATCTATTCCGACAGCGTCGCAGGAGATAGTAGCGTCACACGTGACACCGTCAGGGGAGATAGCGTCACAGAATATAGCGTCGCAGGAGATAGTAGCGTCACATGTGACACCGTCAGGGGAGATAGCGTCACAGAAACAGAATATAGCGTCGCAGGAGATAGTAGCGTCACATGTGACACCGTCAGGGGAGATAGCGTCACAGAATATAGCGTCGCAGGAGATAGTAGCGTCGCAGGAGATAGTAGCGTCGCAGGAGATAGTAGCGTCGCAGAAGATACCGTCACAGGAGATAGCGTCACAGGAGATAGCGTCACAGAAGATAGCGTCGCGGGGAACAGAGCTGACGCAAATAGCGTCAGCACTGCCAGCGCGGGATCGCATCATCTCACCGTCGCACAGCGTAGCAACGGTAGCGACCACGCCGCCTGCCATCGTCAGCGTGCAACCACCGCCGCCGCCGGACGTCATCGTCTCAACGTTACGACACATGATGCGAACGCTCTCTCTCCTCCCAGCTCTCTCCTCCCAGCTCTCTCTCTTCCCAGCATACCTACGATCCGTGGCGACGTCATCGCAGACAACGTCGTCGTTCAGGGCCGACGCTTCTCTCTCGCCGTCGACGACGATTCTTCCGCGAACGGAAACACTCCGTCGATAAAAGTTCCGCTTGATATGTCGGAACTTGCGATATTTTTCGTACACGGTGTCGGATGTTCTGGGGACGTGTGGCGGGAGCAGCTGCAGTATTTCTCGCAGCTTGGCTGTACGGTTGTCGTTCCCGATCTCCTCGGACATGGATTCAGCGGCACGCCCGACGATGCTAGTGCCTACGAGTTCCAGCAGATGGCGCTCGACATGCTGGCAGTGTTTGACTACTACCACAGACCTAACAACGTCGTCGTCGGCCACTCTTACGGGTAAGTAGAGAGAGACGGCCACTCTTACGGGTAAGTAGAGAGAGACGGCCACTCTTACGGGTAAGTAGAGAGAGACGGCCACTCTTACGGGTAAGTAGAGAGACGGTCACACACATAGGCCCGCAGCCATAGCCTCGTTCACACGGTTGAAAGCTCCCCGTGGTCATATTTCACAAGGTAACGCCAATTTAACAAGATCAGTATCCGGGTAACCTTTGCCTTGTTAACGGGGGGCCTATTTCTGCTGTAGTATATTTCTGCTGCTAAGATAAAATTCCCCTCGACGACGAATCCAAAGAAGTTTTAACGATTCCATTATTGATCGGATTCGTAAAATATAACACCAGATTTTTTTTCAGAACATCGCTCGTGACCGTGCTTGCGAGGGAGAGGCAGCATCTGGTGAGCGGGATGGTGTTGGTGAGTGGAGGAGGACCCACCCCTCTCTCTGCCCAGCCTGGTATCTTCTGTATGCCCGCGTGCCTACTGTCATGCATGCGGCCAGCCCTGATGTCGTTCTTTGAAAAGTACGTGCTTCATTCGTATGGAATGAATATATATATATATACATATTTGCATACATGCGATCAAGAGCAACGCAGTCAACATGTCATATATATATTTATATATATATAGGGCCTATAGCTGCGTTCACACGAGGAGAAAAGTTGCGTTCACACGCTAAAATATACACGGCTTGCTAAGCCACGGCTTGCTTAGCCGCGAATGCTCCGGCTTGCTAAGCGCGGAATCATATTCCGCGCCAACTAAGCCGCGTATATTCGGCACCAGGCTGGCCGCGTATTGTTTGTCGTGTGCGCATTGTGAACGCATTGTTCGTGTGAAGCGCTCTAACCTAGACTGCTACCCGTTCGCTGCACGACGTTAGGGTAACGTGTGGAACTGTCGACCGGGTACCA